ACCTAATCACCATAAACAACAAAATTTCCGCTATCATTTCCAATTTTATACTACATTCAAGGTAATAATAATTTGTATCAGTCTGTTTGTTTATTTAAAAAATTATTAGGTATTGTTTATTTGCTAGAGGTAGGACTGAAGTAGTATTTAGTATTGAATAATAAAAAATAATGGAAATTGAACCGAAATAACTATAAAGTTAGCGGAATAATCCTTTTTGTATAGTAGTCTGGGTATTGGGCAAATGTTTTTTTATTAATAATTATAATTGGCTATACTATATTTAACACATTCACTTATTATATACTAGCGTAATAATTCTAATTAGTACCAATGTGAGAGAATTCTTAGCTTTTGTGCTCAGCAAGCTAAAAATCTCTTATTAGCAAGTCGTTAATTTTGTATTTTAAACAATACATTTATTTTATCATTCCTTTTATATTTTATCCTTCTTCTTCTCATGGCGCCGTCTCCTTTCGAAAGTTGGCGATCCAAATGGCAATTGTGGTTTTGGAACCTGCTACTCGAAAGATTTCTGCGGATGAGCGGTCGAACCATCTCCTAGGGTCTTTCAGCAATGAGTTGTAGCGTCTTCCTACTGATCTTTTGCCCTATACTTTTCCGTCCAATATAACTTGAAATAATTCATAGTTTTCACCTTTCAAGACATGACCCAAGTATTGTATTTTCCTTTATTTGATTATTCTTAGTAATTCCTTTTGTTTACACATTCGACGAAGTACCTCAAAATTAGTTAATCTTTGTACCCATGAAATTCTTAACATTCGTCTGTATATGTAGATCTCAAAGACATGCATCTATTTTTTTTTTTCTATTTCAGAGTTCATTGTCCAACTTTCACAGCCATACAGTAAGACAGAAAAAACGTAACATCTAATCATTCGGATTCGAAGCTGCAGACTAAGGTCTGATCTTGTAAAAAATGTTTTATGCTTATGAATGTTTTCCTTGCTTGTTCGATTCTTGATAGTATTTTTTTTTTTGATTACACTCACTATTGACATTTGCTCCCAAATATTTTATGAGATTTACCTGTTCTATCATTTGACCCTTGGCATACACATGTACGTTTATTGGTGTCTTTGAAAATACTAAAGTTTTAGTTTTGGAAACGTTTAGATGTAAACCGAACATTTTGCTGTCGTGAACTACCGAATTTATTATATTATGTAGTTCTTGTGCATTGCTTGCTATTAATACAGTAGTATCAGCATATCTGATGTTGTTTATGCTGTTTCCGTTAATCTTAATTCCGCCTTGGACCTGGTCTAATGCACCTCTGAATATAGACTCTGAATACAAATTAAACAGTAGCGGTGATAAGACGCAACTCTGTCTCACTCCTCGTCGGATTTGTATATCTTCGGATGTTGTGTGCTCTATCTCAATTGTTGCTGTTTGGTGCCAGTATAGTTCTAAGATAATTCGCAAGTTTTGTTCGTCAACTCCAGTTGTTCTCAGAATTTCGATCATTTTTTGATGGTTAACACAGTTAAATGCTTTCTGCTGGTCAGTAAAACATGTATATACATCTACATTCATGTCTCTGCATCGTTGCGTTAACACTTTTAAAGCAAAAAGCGCCTCTCGTGTTCCCAATCCGTTTCGAAATCCGAATTGAGTGTCACTCATCTGGAATTCGAACTTCTTGTAAATTAGTTTATGGATAATTCTGAGTTTTTACTTTCGTTATCTGCAATTAGTTTTAGTATTTCGACGTTGATATTATCTGGACCGGTTTTACTGCGTGAATCACTTCTTCTTTGGTTATTTCTGTGCCTTTTCTATTCATTCGAGTATCTGTGGATGTTGGAGAACAAGGTCTATCGTCGTCAAAAAAAGTTTGTATGTATTTCATACAATTTATCATCATGTCAACAAGCCATATTTCTGTGTAATATGGTCCAGATATTCTAATTTGCTCTAATTGATTTTACGAACTATCTCAGATTCCTACCCTTGTATAATCTGAACATTTGTCACTTGATGAACCCATAGGATTCTTAAATTGCACATGTAACACATCTGGAAGGCTTTTATTTAATGTTTTATATTTCGTTTTATCCAACCAGTTTCAAAACAAATTTATATTATTTTGCCAAATCGAAACAATGGTTTTCGAGTTGTTAATGTTTATATAAAATTATAATAGGTATGTATGTTTAAATATTATGTATATGACGGTATACATGAAGGTTATTACACGTATCCCGTGGAAAACTTCATACCGAACGATTAGAAGTATTTAATTTAACAAACATAAAATATATGGGTATTAGAGTGTCTATCTAGATTATTTTGTCAGGTGGGGCTTCAAGGAGGTCCCGCTATGAACCTTTATCATCGGAGACGGCATTCAGAGTTAATGTGTTGTATGATCTGTCTTGAATTGTCAGTCACAACCTAAAGACAAGCTTTGCCCACTTATGTAGGTTGTCAGCGCTTTTACCGCACTCAGACCTGATTCTACTTAATATCATCCAGATCTTGCGATTCAAAGTAAAATCTGGAACCAGTTGATCAAGATGAATGTGGTTCTATGCGCTCTTTCCATCTCTTCTTCCAATCGTCTTTCATCCCATGATTGGCCAATAATAGGGAGATTAATAAGGATTTCTAAATTACAGCCTGTTCCTTTCTTAACCGACAATATCTTGGTCTAACGGTGATTATGGATTGCCATTATCGTTTTATTTTCTATTACCAGGGCGTTTTGTCTACGGATATCAGTTGGAGATATTACCAATAGGATGAAAGCCACTGAATCCCAACCATCAGAGTTGGGTGTCAACATACCTTGTATAAGAGCTGTTTAGCTAGTCGAAAGCAAAATATTCCACATCAGAATAGACCAATCCAATATCGTAGGGTAGCAACTAGAAATTCCCAAATTATTCCACAGAGCTTCTGAATGATATAGTTTCTTGTTTTTAGCTTAGTAGAGATTTTTTCAAGGAGTTGCTAATAGAAAATATTATAATCTATTGTAACTGCAAGTTATTTAGAAAACTTATTATATGAAAGTATTTGGTCTTTGGAGATACAGATTAATTTTCTATGTACTATTTTATTATAAATACAGAAACAGCATACTTTGGTTACGGTTCTAGGATAAACTTTTAGCATTTTGTTAAAGTTATCTTAAAATTTCAGCCTAGTTGTAAGTGCTATCTTATCGGAGTAGCAAACCTGTCTAGAACTAGTATGCGCACAATCTGAGATAAATAGATTAAATGGAAGGGTTGCGAGTACTGACTCTTTCTAGTTTAGCTTTCTTTCCTTACTAATTTTGTCTCCCATAACGACTTATAGTCTACTACTAAATAGTCTGTCGGATAGTATTTGATTAATTAATTGAGCTGGTGTTTGGTAAGGAATGACTTTTAAGAACATTTCCCTAAGATTATTATGTCATAAGCTGCGTCCATAAACGCCAGATGTAATTCTGAAAGCCGGCTTCGATATAAATTGTTATTGCCAGTACCTTATCGAAGTATATCTAATTAGGCCTAAAACTGCCAGATTCTAACAGATTTTGTTAAACTAAGTTGAATACGTTTATAGGCACAGCTCAGTAATGATACGGATCTAAAGTTTTTTAGCGTATTGTCTCGTTTGCTGGCGTTTTAAAATGACGATTACTTTAGCCTTTTAAAAGTCTTGAGGGAAGTACTTGTATAAAAAATGTTTGAAAATACATTAATTCTTGTTTAACCTTAGCTAACTGTGCTTTACGTGATTGTGCTTGGAATAGATTAACATTTCTTGGATAACTCTGAGCTAGATATATTTTTTGTTAGTGTAAATCCACTACCAAGTTTTCTTACAGGGCTTCAACTAAAATGTTTATGCAGTTGTATCCAGTCATTTATGTTTCCCTTCCGTCTAATAATAAAAATAATTCATCAGTTATATCCGGATTTTCATGCTCTTGAAATTCACTGTACAACAGTTCTCTATTCTCGTTGTAGCCTGACATATTATATTCTTTCCTATAGCCAGTATCTTGAAGTGCTTTTTTTGGTAGCTAATAATATTACTGCTGTTCTAAGCCGTTCCCAGTTGTTGACTACTGGGGAGAGGATGCTTCTGTTGATAGACTTTTCCAACTGTACAGTGTAGTTATTCCAGTCACCCTTTTTACAATTTTATCGGGGTCTAGGTACAGATGTAATTATGAGGGATAATTATGAGGGTAATTATTATGTATTATGTAAATGAGGGAACTTATTATGGACATTTCTTAAGCACGGAAGCTGATCGTGTCGATGATTATTGCTTAAAAGACATAAATCAGGATTCGAATCGGATACGAGTAGAGTAGAGTCCAGTTATGTAGGAAGTTGTCTACGTTGTTATTAGTAGCGAAGTTTTAGGCTTCAAGTCTCCAATATATACAGCAGGGTGATGAGCTATAGGTATACCGTATATGATTCGCCAGGGAGTTTATAGGTATTAATAAATATTATTCCAATTATTTTGGTAATGCTCATGTGAACCCTGTGAAGTATATCTCCATGACAATTTTTTATAAGAAATTTTTTTGTTGGGCTACCGCTGAAGTGGGTAATTTTTGTTGAGATTAGAATAATATTAAACCTTGTATATATTACAACTAATAAAAAATTTAATCAACTTCAAATAATATTGGAAGGTCATTTGGAATAAACGAGGAGTAGCAGAAGAGATTAGAATACCTCAACAGGAAACCATTTAATTTATATGTATACGATAGAGCAAAATCTTGATCATCTATCTTAATCAAGAAGACATTTAAATAAAGAAAGAACATACTTTATTTGGGTAATTAAGTATTTATATTTTTATTTTTAGTTTAATTTTTTTATTTCAATTCTTGACTTACTATCTGGACTTTGACGGGCAGTGTATTCACTATAGAAGCAAGCTTACCTAGTACGGTATTCTAACCAGGAAACCCCATCCTACCTCTACATACATCGAAGCAATCAAACATTAAATAGTGATATGCGAAATGAATTTAAAAAATATAGGTACATTGATATAGAACGTTTGCAGTTCGCGTGCTTGAAGGTGCTTTGAAGAACTTAAGAGTAATATTTGTGTGTGTAATAGTCGATTATAGTTAATTTATTATGGTTAATATTCAAATCCCTGTAAAATCAAGTAAGTAAGAATTTTTATATACAAAAATATATATTTAGCATAAATATCGTACATAAGAATTTTTAATTTTGGTCAAAATTTCTTTCTTCAACCCAGATCAAATACGTTTACGTTGTTTTGTAAAATTTACAATATTTATTTGATTTACTAAGTTGTTAATCACGATTTTAGCATACTATTTTATAACAATTCTTGCCTTTCACAGCTATATTTTCTAATATTCAATCACAAATAACATAAACTACTATTTTATTTTCTACATTTTGACATGCTTATATAACTCTTGCAAAATAGAAAACAAGCAAATTCTTTCATTTTTTAGTTAAAAATAGGAAAAAATATTCTAGTAGTTTAATTTTATACAACCATAAAAATAATTTACACATATATTGTCAGTATTTTTAAGAGACGCATTCCTAGGACGACTTTATTAGAGGGTAGTTCATTTGATAACATTATTAAACAAAATTAACTTCAACTTATGAACATCTGTACAATCTAAAGGTTTTCTACAGCTACTGCCACCTTGTTTCTTCTTCGGGTGCTCCCTATTACTGAAAGTTTGCGATCACTACCTAAAAATGTTCTCTATTATGCACCATTCTTAGTAATTGTTAAGCGTTCATGCCAGACCAAGTTCTGATATTGCGAAGCCAAGACATGGCTCTTCTCCCAAGTTCTCTTCGGCCTTCGGCATTTCACATTATGGGTGGTTTTTTTCTTAATCATTGTTATAAGATCCAACTCTCTATTTAAGTTGTTTAATACTGTTTGACTCGTAATGTGTAATGTCCATGATATTTTGAGCATTCTGCAGTAAAGCCCCATTTCAAGGGCTTCCAGCCATCTCATGCTATATAATTTTAATGTCCAGGCTTTAACTCCATACAAAAATACTGACCTAACATTGGACCTAATCTAAGTTTTCGGTTATAGATAATCTGCTTTCATTTATTGTACATTGTACATGTTTCTAGCCTGTTCTTTTTGTGTTTTTATTTCTATATCTGGATCCCACGTATTACTACGAATTTTAAGTATCTGAATTTGTGAACTTGTTTTAATTGAGTGTTATTTAGGTAAATGCTGTAATTTTTATCGGTTTTGCTAACCACCATTCATTTAGTTTTTTGAAGATTTATTGTCAGTCATTTTGCTTCACTTGCATTATTAAGTCTGTCTAGAGTTAAAGAGCAATGGAGATATGCCACAACCTTGTCTACAGTGGTTGTATGGTTGAATATTTTAAGGTTGCTTGATGGTTCCAATAAAGGTTGTTAATTATACAGATATATTTTTTGTCTAGCTTCATTTTCTGTAGTTCATTCATGAACTTCTCATGCTTGACTTTATCAAAAGACTTGTGCTAGTCGATTTAACAGAGGTATAATATACTGGTGATAGAGGTATTTTTGAGTGAGTGTTTGAACGTTTAAGGTCACTTTTAATTTTTTTGTAAAATTTGAATGAATCATGTTTGTTGTCTAGTTTTTCTATTTCGTCACATTTCATTTATCCACTTTTCTTTTTCTTCTTTGATTTTTGAATCTATGATTCTTTGCATTTCTTTATATAGATGTTGGTATGATTATGGTATTTTTTATGGTTTGACATATATTTTCTTTTTCTTCGGCTCCTGTTATGATTGTTTTTTTTTTCAGGTCTTCATTACGTTTGGTTGCTACTTTTTCTTCATTACCTTCTTTTCGACGTATTTTAATATAACGCTTTCTTGCTTTTTTGCGTATTGTTTTTAGTTTTTGTCTAAGATTGATAACGACTGGAATGTGATCTGATCCTATGTCCATACCTAGATAGATTTTTGCACTCTAGATACTTAATTTAAATTTGAATGATTTCCATGTATAGATTCGTCTGGGAGGTAGTTTGATCCAAATGTTCGATACCGCATATTCTTCCTCTTGGCAAAATTGTATCAGCCTTATTGTTGCATGTGCCAAATCTGTATCTTCCAATGATATCAGCTACTTTTTGTTTGACGATTGTGGCCTAGTATAATGTTGATGTGATGTTTTTTAAGGCTTTTTGTGATTGTTGTCCGTTACTCATTCATTAAATTCTTTGACCATTTTGACCAATTCTTTACCATTTAAGTAATATCTACTGTAATATACTAAACAATATAATATGATATGATAGATCTTAATATCAGTATCTAATAACATCAGACCAATAACTGACTAAGTACCATCAATTACATTTTATAGATCAATTTACCATGGTCCTGATTCTTTCTCAATCTTCTACTTTTGCACCTTATTATATGGATAACTGTCACAATATGTAATTGTTTACTAAAACTTATTCGCTAAAAATTGTACAATGGGAATTCACTCTATAAAATATTGCGGTTACCATAACTCCCAAATAAATTAAAATCAAAAAAATGTCATTTATTTAAATTGGATATGTTCTCAAAATTTAAATTTTTAATCTTAAGTTGTAAGTATTGAAATATTCATTTTGTTTACATATAATAATTATAATAAATTTACAGTTTTCTCCTGAAGAAGTCACAAAATCGTGACGAAATGTTGAGAAATAACAAATAAAGTTTTATTTCATACAGACCAATTGCTGAGACTACAAATAATATATATATATATATATATATATATATATATATATATATATATATATATAATATATATATATATATATTACAGGATCCAACTTGTAAATATAATACATTTTGGAGACGGCTATCGCCCTATTCTCGTTCTCCTCCGCGCCAATCCTCCCGGTCTAAGGCATGCTCATCCTCTAAACCCCTCGATTCTATCACACTTCTAATTCCTTCATTCCATGAGGGTCGAGGTCTACCTCTTTTTCTTCTTTCAGGGGGCTTCCATCTGTGAAGTTTTTGGGGCCAACATTCGTCAGGCATTCTCAATAGGTGTCCAAACCATCTTAAACCTCTTCTTTCTATTCTGTCAATGACCGTTTCTGTAGCATTCATGATATTTCTTATAGATTCGTTGCTATTTCTTTCCAGCCTTAATCTTCTAGTACCTCTTCTCAAATAATTCATTTCAACTGCCAACAATTTTCTCTTCAGGTCTTCATTAATTGTCCATACTTCAGAGCGATAACAAAGAACTGATTCAATCATGGTTTGCCCTATTCTCTTTTGTTCCTTTTGAAAATGTTGCGATCCCACCATAAGGAGTTTAAACATCCTACAATTTTACGTTCCTGATTAATTAGGTGTTTAATTTCGGTTTTTCCCAAGCCGTTCTTATCAATAAATGCACCTAAATATTTAAATTTTTCTACTTGTTTGATTTCCACGTCCTCGTTTATCAACACTTCAAACCTTGCATCTGAATTGGTAACTAAATATTCTGTTTTCTTCATGCTGATTTGTAACCCCCATTTTACATATTCTCTGTATAAACGCTTTATCATAAATTCTAGATCATAAGAATATTGAGCTAGGACTACTTGGTCCTCTGCAAAGTTCAGGGAGTACAGTACATCAGTTCCTATGGGGATTCCATTTCCTGGCAGTGATTTTTCCAATTTTGGAAGACTGCCTCCTCAATATATAAATTAAACAGTAAGGGTGACTTACTGCATCCTTTTCTTATTCCTTTAGTTACTTTTATTAGCTCTGACAGTCTATTTCCGATTTTTAGGCAAGTAGTGTTATCGGTCCATCTTACTTTGCTCAATTCTAATATTTTAACAATATTTCTGCTCATGTTTTAAATTACATTATGAACGTCTCCAGCTTTTAGTAGGTTTCAAGTATTTTATGTTCTGTCGATTTTTTGAATATAGCAAGTCCGGAGATTCTTCGCACCCCTGCTTTATTCAAGAAATCCATTGCTGATTTTACTTGTCATGATGAGTTAGTTTTTTTAATGTTCAGAAAGGATTTTTAATGCAGTAGTTTCTTCTTGCTTTCTGCATCCTTATGTCTTGACCTTATTGGCTTTTCTTCCTTTACAGTTGATTTTTTTACTCAAGGGCAACAGAGTGCTCCTACTTCAGACCATTCTTTCACCTTCTCAAGGAAACTATTGATAGAGTTAAAGAGGATAATTTATACCGACGATAGTTCGATGATTTTAGTATATCTGGCTACACTCCCTCAGTTTAGCCTGCAGATCAATGCAGTTATCCACATCTCAATTTTCATCTTTTCCTCTTTTGCAAAACATTTTATTCTAGAAATTTTGGTCTCCCGGTTTCTTGGATTTTTTTTTAATTCAGCTGGTTCATTGGATGATCGATACCTCTATAGTAAGTTATCACTCCAGCTTTGGCACTGTCTGCAGATAATTCCTCTACCGTTTGGTGATTTGGTAATTTATTTCTTGGTATTATGTGCCATCTTTTCTCTCCGGATCTCTGTTATTCTTTAAATGCTGTGTTCATCTAAATATTTTATGTTGTTTTCTATTACCACCCTTCATGTTTTATAATTTTGTTAATTAATGCTGTTGTTGATGTTGTTGTTTGCTCATTCTCATTCCACAATATTTTAGTAGCTCATTTCGTATTTCATCTTTATTTGCTTCTTTTTTATTCTTTAGATTTTTAATCGTTTTTAAAACTTCCTGCGTGTTTATATTTTATTTTTTGTTTGTGTTTATGATTTTAACGTTACTTTTTTCATAAACAACGTCAGATACTTAATCCATGAACTCTTTCTTGCGTGTTTCGGATCTATGAGTTCCATCAACTGTATTTTTGACGTGTTATAAAGCGCCCTATATCTTTTTATAGGTGATAAAACTTCACTTTTTACTTCTGAGTAAAACCAAAAAGTGTTTCGTCTTGGGAACGATTTGTGTTTTGAAGAGGAGCGTACAAAAGGGGAAAATAGAAATTAACAAACTGAGAAACAGAACTGGAGAAAAAACAACGAACAGAGATGAAATATTAAGAATAGTCAAAGAGTTCTACACAGAGTTATATAGATCAAGAAAAAAAGATAACAATACGGAACCTCCAATTACACTAAAAACTGG